GGGAGACCTGCAGAAAGCAATAAATGATGCCATTTCCCTTAGATACTTATTTTATGATGGGATGAGTCGTCCTTCGGAAGTGCCTGTTTCTTGCCAGTGATAAAAGAACGCAACTAGCTCACTTCGATTAATAACTTTTAGCTCTTGTCTCCCTTCTCGTCGCATCATTACGTTTTTAGTTCCGCTTGACTGTGTTATGAAATGTTGATGGTTATGGTATTGGTGTATCACCGCGTTACAAAACACACACAACCATGTCAAGATATGTATTATCTGTAGTACACTGGTGTCTGGATTCAGTATAAACAAATATTAATTATATCCTGCTTAATATACTGGTACAGCATGGGTGTGGTGGACCTCTGCTTTGGCTCCTGTCATTTCAGGAACCTTTTTTTGTTGGCTTTCCACTTGCTGGTGTCTGTAGAAGCCCTTTTGGTTGCCCTTGTCTATTCCTTGTCACTCAAACCTGCAGCTAAACTACAGGTTTCCTAATCCCATCCTTTGCAAGGTAAAGCAATGCTCCTGCGTTCCCCCTTGGGAGCCTCCTCCTGCAGAGGTGAAGGAGACGGGGAATGGCAGCTGCCTCCCCACAAGGCAGGCAAGGTAAAGATGAGGGGCAGGACCTTCAAGGTAAAAGTGCTTGAAGTCCAAGTGGCAGCCAATTATCACAGAATCACAGAATCACAGATTCGTAAGGGTTGGAAGGGACCTCAGGAGATCATCTAGTCCAACCCCCCTGCTAAAGCAGGCTCACCTAGAGCATGCTACACAGGACTTCATCCAGGCGGGCTTTGAATATCTCCAGAGAAGGAGACCCCACAACCTCCCTGGGCAGCCTGTTCCAGTGCTCTGCCACCCTCAGAGTGAAGAAGTTCTTCCTCATATTCAACTGAAACCTCTCGTGTTTCAGTTTGCATCCATTGCCCCTAGTCCTGTCGCTGGACACCACTGCAAACAGACTGCTTCCGTCCTCTTGACTTCCGCCCTTAAGATATTTGTATGCGTTGATGAGATCCCCTCTCAGTCTTCTCTTCTTCAGGCTGAACAAGCCCAACTCTCTCAGCCTTTCCTCGTAGGGGAGATGCTCCAGTCCCTTTATCATCCTAGTAGCTCTCCTCTGGACTCTTTCTAGGAGTTCCTCGTCTTTCTTGAACTGGGGAGCCCAGAACTGGACACAGTACTCCAGGTGGGGTCTCACCAGGGCAGAGTAGAGGGGGAGGAGAACCTCCCTCGACCTGCTGGCCACACTCCTCTTAATACACCCCAGGATACCATTGGCCTTCTTGGCAACAAGGGCACATTGCTGGCTCATGGTCAGCTTATTGTCCACCAGGACTCCCAGGTCCCTCTCAGCAGAGGTGGCATTGCTCAAGGAACAACGTCAGGGCCGATCCTGTTCAGCATCAGCATCATCAGTTACCAGCACAAGGGGCGGAAGGCACGTCAGCAAGTCGGCGGGTAATGGTAACCCAGAGGGGGGGGAAGCAGTTCACGGCCTTGATGGCAGGATTAGTCTTCAGAGGTACCCTGGATGAGACAGAGGAACGGGCCAAGAGGAACCTCCTGAAGTTCAGCAAACACAAAGACACTGTCCTGTCCCTGAGCTGGAATAGCCCCCAAGCATCAAGATGGGGTTGTGGACCCACTGGTTGGAGCAGCTCAGCCAAAAAGCATTGGGGTGCTGGCAGGCAAGACGAGGTGGCTTCCCCCAGAGCCCTCCCAATCCAAGGGGTTCTATGATTCCTAATAACTGTATCTCCCAAAGACCAACTTGACTTGGCCCTGGGTTTTTTCATCTTTTTTCACATGTCCCCACCAAAGCATACATAGTCACAGATTTTTGTAAACAGTGATTTCGTAGGTCAGCAACCTCAGTGGAAGAAAATTGTGTGTGTGTGCATGTGCGTCTGTTGGGTACAACTGTCAGCAGCAAAAAACGGAAGATGCAATTTAGCTCCTTTGTGAAGTTGCAGCATTCTGTTGTACTTGGTGCAGTTTCCATTAAGAAGATAATGCCAAGCATGCTCCTTTTTACCTTCCTCCTATAGACTGTGAACATCTCTCTGCAACCCTTCCCCTTTCATCTTCTCCCCAGCTTTTACCTCCCTCTGTGTCAAGAGGCAAAGGTCCAACTCTAAGATGGTGCAACTGTGTAACCCTGGCTCAGGCTGCTGAGAAAACAAAGTTGTGGCAAGCGCTGCGCAATGGCGTGTAGGAAGGTGCAGTACAACCGGCAGCAGAGCTAGGCTGTCCCGTCTGGAGTTGCCAGTAGCTCACAGGATCAAAATGATGAATACCAGCACAGAAATTATTCTAACCACAAAGAGAATGAAAACAGGGAAAGAATCATAGAATTGTAGAATCATTTAGGTTGGAAAAGACCCTGGAGATCATTGAGTCCAACCGGAAACCTAATATTGCCAAGTCCACCACTAAACCATGTCCCTAAGTGCCACATCTACCTGCCTTTTAAATACCCCCAGGGATGGGGACTCAACCATTTCCCTGGGCAGCCCCTTCCAGTGCTTGACAGCCCTTTCTGTGAAGAAATTTTTCCTAATATCTAATCTAAACCTGCCCTGGTGCATCTTCAGGCCGTTTCCTCTCGTCCCATCACTTGTTGCTTGTCACTTATTACTGCCAGACAGCTGTGAACCAGTGTCATCAGTGCCCTGGTGTTGGACGTGGCGGTCGATGGCGGCTTGGCAACGGTGCCTTTCTGCTCTAGGGAGAGGCCGAGGCCTGCCCGGCCGGTGGGGGCTCCTGTGTCCTACCGGTGACCAGGTCAATGTTTACCTTGGAGCTTGTCAAATCCCGGCCCTCGCTTCTTCGTATGCGCCACCGATAAACAACAGCCAGCCCGTGCCACGGGCAGGCCG